ATGTATGTGTATATATATATATTATTTATTATAATTATAGAATATAATTTTCCTTGGTCAAAGACATGACTTTCAATCTTATAAAGTTATCCTAAAATGTTCAAAAGGGAACTAATCCCTGAAATATAGCACCCAAAGAAGTTCTATCATTATATATTATATTCCTGCACTCAGAAAATATTCATGGCACACAATAAGACTGTCTAAAATTAGTGATTCAGTTTTATACTAATATTTATTTAAATTTGCATACAGTGTGTTAAAAATAAGCAATATAAAATGTAAATTCACCAGTAATTGGTTTAAACTCAAAAATCTTTATAGATTAATTTTTATGACATCTAATACACAATTCCATGTCGTTAAGCGACCTTAAAATTACTAAATAAAAAAAAATTACATCAATGAGTACCAAATATCACCATGGTATCTTAAATTAAGTACATTTAATATATAAAATATAAAAATACTGAGCTAAAACAATAAAGGGCATATAGAATATAATTTTCTGCTGTACTGCAAGTTTGTATGTCATAATTATACTGCTACTAATGGCTGTGTCATTAAATGTAAAAGCTTTAGTATCATGATACATACAGATAAACAGATAGTCCTATTCATCACTATTTATGAAACAGATGTTATCAATATCATGTTTTTTCTAGAATATCAATTTTTTTTTTCTTATTTTTGCATCTTTCATAAATCTTGGATTGGACCAAGTTTGATAGCAAGGAGCTAAAGAGATTATTAAAATTTGAGATCTCCAAAATCGTTTGAAGTATGTGTAAGCAGTTTTGAAATCCTAAAAGCAACCGAACTTCGAATGTCAATGGCTAAAAATAAATTGGCCCGGAGAACTAGGAGAGTATTTGTCGATGTTCACAATTCTCAAACTAATTTATAGAAGTAATAGTTTTCATAAATATATCTTTCTAAAATCAATCGAAAATATTCTTTTGTTTCAAAATATTTTTTTATAAAATATGATGTTATTCGACAATCTCATATTGGAATCCTTGACCAAGATTATTCCATTAATCCCACTAATTTTAATTAAGCTCAAAGTAACTATTAGTCTATTTTTTTAAAAACATTAAGCCAACCCTTATATTTTCGTACATCTATTGATAAACGCTAGCTCATTAGAATTATAAATACATAATTACCATACTTTTAATTTTCTGAGATCACCAGTGCCTGAGATAATCTAACATAACGTATATACTACGAATATTTTATCTTATTTAATAGAGCTTAAATCAAATAAAGAAAAAAAAGAATATTAATGCTGCCAACATTGTTAATAGGTTTTCTTACAAAAATCAAAAAAAGGAAACAGAAGAAACTTTCAAATATTGAAAGTATATCTGCGTTTATCATAATACTATAAAAAGGTGTACTTATGAATACTCTCCTAATTCAAAAACGGCCACTGCACCACAGCAAATAGATAAAATTCATCACTTATCTACGAGATAAAAGATTCTCAATCACGGCGATGAAACTCTGCTATGCACAGACGGCAAGACCAGGAGCCCTCGGGAGGAGATGCAAGAGGTGGAGACAGACAATACATGTGGTATCCACGATCACAGTCGTCACAGAACAGCAGCTGATCCTAGTTTGGTTCGCGAAATAATTAATTAAGATTGCAACGATACCTAACTGAGTGAAATTATTCGCAATCGTTGCTTTAATTTACTATCTTTCCTTTACGATAACAATTATCCTATGATTTACTTGTTCAAATTATTTAGTTTATTTTTTATAATCATAAATAATAAGATTTTTTGTTTTCTTTTATAGAAAACATTAGCAATGCATTGTAATATATTGTAAAATTTAAATAGTTTAAAAAAATATTAAATTCTTAACAATTTCTGTATCATTTTTCTCAAACTATTTTGATTATGATTAATTAATCAATAAATTTTTAAAATAATATAATATATAATATATAATATTTTGAAAATATATAATATATTGAAAATATTTTAATGGTAACAAAGAATTAATATAAAATTAATGAAACAAGATGCAAGAAATATTAACATTAACATACAAAAATAAAAGATATATCGAATTATTTTTCATAGTCAAAGAGAAGAAATCAAAATAGTTAGAGTAAGTAAATTATTCTTTATTTCGTCACGTAAAGGGAAAAATGGTAATGAATACTCACATCGTTGTCAGAAGTGCCACAAATGGAACAGCATTTGCATTCGATACACTGCCACCTGTACTTGCGAACAGAAACGATCATGTTCGCTGTGAATTGCAAACAAGTCGGATGCCCTATAACAAGAACGTAGCTAGGTCATGGAAAACGCATATGGGACGGAATAGGATGTTTTGGACGAGTAGAAAGGTGCTAGGACATTTATCTTGTGCCGAAGAACAGTGAACTCCAAGCTATCATTTCATTTCGAATATTTTTTTTCGTACCATTTTCAAATTCGAATAGAAGTACTTGTTAAAATTCCAAATCAAATTTAATATTTTCTTCTTTTTTTTCGATTGCTCAAGAAACGCGTGCAATTATATTTTATATGATTTATCATAAAGAATCATAACTTTCACCTTTCCTCAGCACTAAAAACGTCCGGAATAATGATACGTTCTGTTATATTTCCGCAC